GAACAAAGGAGTTTGCCGACGAGCGTCGAAGCACCTAGGCTTAGCGTTGCAGAGCACACTTCACATGATCGCACAACCACGCACTAGGCTAGCCAAACACCATGTGGGCTGCGTTAACAAAACGGCGTGATGGCAGGTTACGGTGCCTTGGGTACTTCGGAGGTGGCGCTGGTAAACATTGAAGATAGCCAGCGTGGCCAGACCAAATCGGTGTGTGACGGTTAGTTCTAGTTCGAAGTGGTGAAACGCTTCGCAAAAGCGCTGCGTGGGAAGCCAGAGTGGCACGCACGAGCACAAGCGCTAAAGCGAAACTTTATTGGTGCCAAAAAATTTCCGGGTGGATAGTTTCGATTGTTAGCGAAGCATCCTTGCACGATAAACACGGCCAGTGTTAGGAATATCGGAGGACGTGTGTGTTTCTCCTCTAACGATCAATGAGTCCAAGCAACAGATGCCGCCACAGTAGACTGGCGTGCTCATTTATGCGATCGTAATCGCGTGTGACGCAGTTGTGGCGTTTTCCACTGGAGGTCAGTGGTGGTTTCCGACCTTCCGTCGCGTCAAAAAGTCCGGAAAATTGGACTTCGGGGGCGTTCGAGCGTCCGAAATTTCAGACTTCCTTATACATTGATTCTATGGGGATCATGGCAGTGCCGCAAAGATGTCCGAATTATCGGGCATGTCCGAAAATTTGGGTGTTCGAAAAATCGGCAGTTGACTGTATAGCGGTGTAACAGAGAATCTACAGACATTGGCATATAGCGCAGTGCTCTTTTTTCCAATGAATTGTTTTATATTGCTCAAGGTTGTGGTGCCCCAGACTAGTAATTTATGTGCGAGGAAAACAGAGCGTGGTAGATCTGCACTTAGCTTTTTTCGGAAGAAAATGACGACATAGTGACAGAACACCAGCAGGACGCGATAATGATTTTGTCAGGGATTCAACATGACATGACCATGTCATATGAGTGGAAAAAGTCACGCCTAAAGCTTTACGTTTCTCCACAATTTCCACGGGTATTCCGTCAAAGTGGTTCGGGAAATTCAATTTTCGTACCTCTGGATCTGAAAAAGACAGCTTTTGTTTTTTTCGCATTTATTCGCAGTAGACTACCGCAGCACATCTGAAAGTACGTTTTGAGCTCTGTCAATAATTTCAAATGATTTTTCATCCTGACACGAAAACACTGGTGTCATCTGCGTGCAGTAGAAATGTAGCGTTATTGTTTATGTGGACAATATCATTTATGTACATATTGAAGATTCATTGGCTTTAAGATGCTTCCTTGAGGCATGCCGCGACAGATAGTCTTGTAGGAAGAGAACACTTGGAATTCAGCATAAAGATCATTCCCATAGGCATGCAGTAACAGTCATAGGCAGTAAGAAAGTCGCTCAGCAAAATAATTAAATTCAAAATACAACTATGAATGTACAAAACATGCTGTGTATACCTCTTATTCCTCTTTGTAAGCGGAACCGTCCTTGTCTTGTCCAACGCACTTTGTTCCGACGAGGACTACGCCATCTACGCTTAACAGAGGCTAACGATTAATGATGTCTTCTACGCTAGGGTGGTTCATTGCAATAATGCATTTTCGAAGACTAGTCTAATCAGTGGTGCGACGAGAGGCCGTCTCTGCAAACGGTCACTGTACCTGTCATTTAATGTATTTTACAATACTTCTTACAGTACTATCCCGCCGCCGTGGTCTAGTGGCTGAGGTACTCAGCTGCTGACTCGCTGGTCACAGGATCGAATGCCGGCTGTGGTGGCTGCATTTTTGATGGAGGTGAAAATGCTGCAGGCCCGTGTGCTCAGATTTGGGTGCACGTTAAAGAACCCCAGGTGGTCTAATTTTCCGGAGCTCTCCACTGCGGCATTTCTCATAATCATATGGTGGTTTTGGGACGTTAAACCCCACATACCAATCAATCATTCTTACTATACTTTCGCTTACCGTAATTACTCGAATCTAACGCACACCTTTTTTCGGGTTAAGCGAGTTCATAAATCGCATGCGCATTAGAATCGAGTACGAGCAAAAAAATTACGGTCAATCTATTGGCAAATCCAAAATGGCCGCCCCCTACGTGCGTCGGCATGGCGCGTCGGCATGGCGCGTCGGCCATTTCTGCCTATGTGTTTCTCATGTGCGGCACTTCGTACGTGTGCTGAGAAGTTCGTCATCTAGTAGTGCATTAGCATCGACGGCGTGGAAGGGCCGACTCCAAAAACTGGAGTGCACCACGATGCCGCTTTTAAAAGAAAAGTCATCGCGTGTGCCGAAACGGACGGAAATCGGGCCGCATCGCGGTCGTTCGGAGTTCCCGAGACGTGCGTGCGGGATCGGCAGAAACAAAAGCAGAAGATTGTCGACAGCAAAGCTTCACACAAAGGCTTCAGTGGACCACAGCAGGGTCGGTTTCCGCAAATTAAAGAGCTGCTCGGCGAGTATGTGCTTGAGTAGCGAGCGGCACAGCGGCCCGTGACGACAGAACTGCTCCAAGTGCGAGCTATGCAATTATTCTTAAAAAAAGGTCTAATGCGGAGCCAGTTTAAAGCGAGCAGGTGCTGGCTAACTAACTTATGAAGAGGAAAGGATTTTCCCTCCGAAGGGGAACATGCATATGCGAAAAGTTTTGTGGAGGGGTACGATGAAAAGCTTCACAGTTTTCAGAGGTTCGTCCTAAACTTGCGGCGCAACAACGGCTACCTGCTTGGGCAAATCGGGAATGCCGATAAGACGCCTCTTTACTTCGACATGCCTGGCACTACAACCGTCGAGAAGAAGGGGGCGAAGCAAGTTCGCGTGCTGACATCGGTCCACGGTAAAACTACAGTGACGGCAATGCTCTGTTACACGTCAGATGGGCACAAGCTTCGCCCGTACCTCATATTTAAATGGAAGACGCTCCCGAAAGGAGTCGTTTTTTCGAGTGGTGTGATCGTGCGGGCCAGCGAGAAAAATGGGTGCGCGTTGCAATCGATGTCTTACGTTTTTTTTTTTTTTTTTTTTCGCGGTGGAAATCGAGTGCGCGTTACAATCGAGGGCGCGGTGGAATCGAGTAAATACGGTACTCTCTTCACAACCATACACAGAGAGGGTATCTCATGACTTGATATACATGTACACAACATGTTTAAACTACCGCCGATAATGACGTCACAGAGAAAAGTTCATGTCTGTGCCCCCGCCCCAGCAGGGTCAGTGTGACCCACCCCCCCAAAAGAAAATCTCTGGCTACGCCCGTGGCGTAGAGAATAAGGGGGTGTGGGGTGTACGCTCGATCGCACGCCCTTATCTTGCAGTGGGGAGAACCGTACGTCTTGGCGAGCCTTTGGGTTTGGTCGAAACAATTCTGTTGTAATTACTGGGCGCTCAAAGGTCACTGCAATCGTTGCACAGCCTCTGTTTGCGAAAAGGGCACGCTTTTCAGAGACTGCGAAGTAACAACTGAGACGCTTATTCGGGTTCATCTGTACCTTTGAGTACGTTTCGTGCATCATTTGTGCGTGAGAAATGCGGGGCACGTTTACGTCTGCTTACCATTCTGCGCGTGACCTTCCAATTGGTTGCTATCGCGTTCATTGCTTCGCATTTGCGGCAAAGCTGTGACTTTTCTTTTCATCATCTCTTGAAAAGGAACATCCACTGCATGAAGCATTGTCAGATGTGTGTCGTAAGGACACCTGCGACCTACCAGCATTTGTCATTTCCAGCAGAAATTATACTGTGCATTTCGAACTTTTCCAAAACTTCACAAACACTCAATGTGTATAGCAACTTGTGCAAATGCCAGGCTTCAAGCTTGTCATACAGGTAGTTTACCTCTTGTTTCCAGACATGCAAGAGCGTTATTTATTCTGTCATGTTACTTTTTTGGGTAATATCTGCAGTAAGACAAGTTTCTGCCAATCCCACTATGGAAAATAAAAATAAAAACTGCTAAAATATGCTGCATTGTGTCTTTAGCAGATGCTTACTAGCTACAATCTCCTCACATCTTGCTGTCACTCAAGCACAAAGCAAGCATTAGTATTAAGCCACAATTCCTTATCAACCAAGTGACCTTGAGACCAGGTGAGCTTGTGCCTGGTCTCAAGCCTGGTTTGAGCGCAACCTGTGGAATAATTGCGTCTGCTCAAAAACAACAGTTGCCTTGCTTGAAGTCTCGATGAATACCATGTAAACACATCGATGGGTACCTTCTACATATGAAGATGCTACGGGAACATCCTTGGTGATATGAAAACAGACTCGACTTCAGTTCACCCCCATTGTGAAAGCCAGCGAAGTAGCAGCCAGCAGGCAAGCAAAGTGCGTGCAATATGTAATGGAAAGGAGGGAATAAGAATCTGAAGGCATAGAAGGCATAGCGTGGCTCAGCTAGCTGGGCGAGTGGTACTACTGTTGCGTGGGAAAACCAGTGTAGGCAGAGGGGCGTAGTACGCAGAAAACTTCCAAATGTTACATTGACATTTTTCTGGTGTTGTTTAGACTGACACTTAATTACAACTTGGCTGTGCTTGCGTGATGTGGCCCTTGGTTGGTATAGTATTGTAGAGAAAACAGCACAGTGCATGAAGCAGTAAAATCAGAGACTACTCGCCGTTTTTAATTTCCTTGGCGTGAAACCTTTAAACTTTATTCTTGCTTGTGCCCTTGCGATTCTTGTCATTGGCAGTGGGGTTCTACTACAGCACAGTAGAGCTGGTATTTGAGTAACTGGGTAACGCTAACCAGAATACTATGCTGACGTTGCCATGTTCATTGGCAGTCTGTCATACGTCTAATGTGCTACCGTCCAGATGTGTTGGCAAAATATATTGGCTCATTTCCACATTCATCCTAGGGAGCAAAATCTTTCAAGAAGCGAATTGGTTTTGTAGTTTGAACTGGTGCCGAATTCTTGTGCTGACTGTAGCGTTCTTTCAGTGCACATTCTTTCGGCATCAGACTGTTTGACACACAACTCTCATCTCTTCTCCGGAACAGAAGACGCAGATGAAACGGACATGGAAACATGCGACGAAGGCCCCGAGAGCAAGCCGGCAAAGGAAGAAGCCCCGCCGGATGACTGCCTTCCCGCTGCCAAAATCTTGCCGGTCGACGCGTCGGGTGACATCTTGGGACCGCACGAGATGGCCCGTCAGCCAAAGCAGGCTGTCGTAGCACCGTTGCCCAAGAACCCGCTGTCGAAAAAGGAGGACTAAGTCGCCAGTCGCCCTAGACGTGCCTTAAAATTTTCTTATAGCTCCTACTGCTAACCAAGACAGACTCTCCAGTGTTTAGTGAGGAGTGCCAAGATGCTGCCATGAATCTTGGTGAGATATTAATGAAGCAAAACGTTTGTAGCGCTTCTTTTGGATGATTGTTTCTCGTAGGGGTGGGGTGGGGGTTTAGGGAAGAGCGGTGTGTCTGTACACGTGTTATTGGTAGCAATCTCCCATTTTTGTTTTGACTGTGTACAGTTAACATTCAAATGTTTGTTCAGTAATTGTGACTGAATAGAATAGTAAATTATACGTCGGTTTCTTTCAGTGTTTTTTTTTTTTTCTTGTCTTGTGACTGGTGCAGTTGAAGGGTCTCACTGAATGTATATGTGTGTGTGTGTGTGATTGTGTTTTTTGTTAATTTTTTAATTTAGAGCCTACTCTCAAAATGAATCCTTGCATGTTGGTTGCTGTGGAGTCCTGAAACATGTCCTAGGCACTTGACTAATTCGCAGCATTCGTCAATTATAGTGCTTGCTTTCACACAGCTTGTGGGATTTTTTTTATAAATGTATATGTATATGCAAGTAAGCGTCTTTCTCTGCTTATGCTTACCACTTGCGTTATCTAATTGAATTTTAACAGGCCTTGATAAACTGCTGCTTCTGTTGCAAATTGTGCCTTGATAGGCGATTGTCATGTTGCGATGCGTGACTATGTGCGCAACTGCATTTTAAGTTTGATAATCGGAAAACTAATTTTATGAGTTCGTCAAGGCTTTCATTAAGACGGGTATATGGCAAAGAATTGACTGACAAGAAGGTGGGATGCCGCTATGTCCGAATGGCTTCTTGTGCTCTTGTGTAATATTCACAATGCAATTTGTATTTACTTGCATCGTAGCAGTACAGTGCCATTGACCCAGCTGCATTAAAAATTGCCGTCGTTCAGATCTCGCAGTGCCTGCTTTAGTGACACCGCTATTATAACGAGGCTTCTGCGACTATCGTGCATGCAATGAATAGCTTCCTAGTTAATAGTGTATTAATCCATAATATTGAGTGACCTAAATATAACTCTTGCTGATTCAAATGATACTCGTTCCCAGGAATTGGAATTGATATGTCATCTGTAGCATGCATGCACAGTAAGGCCATTTTACAGGTAGATGCATTTTAGTGGCATTCTCTTATTGGTCGGCTCAAGATATGCATAAATGCCTTGAATATCACGCACTGCGACTTAAATGTGGGCTCTAATTGCTCTGAAAAAACTCCTGGTTCAGATCACTGTTCTCACTTCTATAGTCTGTTAGTTAAAGAAGGAAAAAGAAAAACATCCTCACTGTGGATTTTTTTTTTCAAGTTGGACTGTTCTGGTGTGTTGTGTTGCGAGATTAAACAAATATGTGCAGAAACCTTTTTGCCTACTGCTACATATGATAAAAAAGAAATCACAGCAAATCACAGCAATGAGGATGAGTGGGGCGAAGCTTCGAAGGAGTTTATCGGCAAACCATGGCCGTGTCCATCCGTCTGTCTGCTGTTCGTTCATCCATTCGTCCATCTGTTTGTATGTCTCTTTGTATGCATGTATGTTCGTCTGTCCGCCTGTTCGTCCGTCCGTCCATCTAGAGAACACTCCAAGTACTGCCATCTCGCATCTTTTCATCACATATTTATCGTATACACGTACCGCCATCCAGTGGACATTCCAAGGACTAAAACGAGAGGTGGCTACTATATACAGGAGACGCACGACCCACGCCTTAAAGGGCCCATAAACCACCCAGGTATCGTAATTAAACTGAATAATAGATACAAGATGAAGGTGGTACAGGCTTACGCGCCTACATCCAGCCATGATGACGCTTCAGTTGAAAGCTTCTATGAAGACGTGGAATCGGCAATGAGTAAGGTAACAACACAGTATACAATACTGATGGGAGACTTTAATGCAAAGGTAGGGAAGAAGCAGGCGGGAGACCAGGCAGTAGGAGATTATGGCATCGGTACTAGAAAACGCCAGAGGAGAGCTACTAGTAGAATTCGCAGAACGCAATAATTTACGGATTTTGAATACCTTCTACCGAAAACTAGGAAACCGCAAGTGGACATGGAGGAGCCCTAATGGTGAAAATAACAACGAAATAGACTTTATAATGAGTGCACACCCAGGCATCGTGCAGGACGTGGAAGTTGTTGGCAAGGTACGATGCAGTGACCATAGAATGGTACGGTCTCGAATTTGCCTAGATTTGAGGAAGGAATGACAGAAACTGATATGCAAGAAGCCAGTCAATGAGCTAGCACTGAGAGGGAAAGTACAGGACTTCAGAGTCTCGCTTCAGAACAGGTACTCGGCTCTTAGTGAGGAGACCAACCTTAGCATAGATACAATGAATGATAATCTGACGAGTATCATTACGGAGTGTGCAGTGGAAGTTGGAGGCAGGGTAGTTAGACAGGACACTGGCAAGCTTTCCCAGGAAACGACTAGCAGTAACACAGATGACTCCCCAGAACTAGCAGTAACACAGATGACTCCCCAGCAGTAATGATAGAAGAAGTCAGAAAAGCTTTGGAAAGCATGCAAAGAGGCAAAGCTGCTGTTGAGGATCAGGTAACATCAGATCTGCTGAAAGATGGAGGACAAATTGTGTTAGAAAAACTAGCCACCCTGTTTACGAGGTGTCTCCTGACGGGAAGGGTACCAGAGTCTTGGAAGAACGCTAACATCATCTTAATACATAAGGAAGGAGATGACAAGGATTTGAAGAATTATAGGCCGATTAGCTTGCTCTCTGTAGTATACAAGCTATTTACAAAGGTAATTGGTAACAGAGTAAAGAAAACGTGAGAATTCAATCAACCAAAGGAACAAGCAGGATTTCAAACAGGCTACTCAACAATCGACCACATTCATACTATCAATCAGGTAATAGAGAAATGCTCGGAATATAACCAACCACTATACATAGCCTTCATAGATTACGAGAAGGCATTTGATTCAGTAGAAATATCAGCCGTCATGCAGACACTGCGAAATCAGGGCGTCGAAGTATATATAAACATCCTGGAAGAAATCTACAGGGGATCAACTGCTACCATAGTGCTTCATAAAGAAAGCAACAGAAGAATACCAATCAAGAAGGGTGTAAGGCAGGGGGACACAATCTCCCCAATGCTATTTATCGCGTGCTTACAGGAGGTTTTCAGAAGCCTAGAATGGGAACAGTTAGGGATAAGAGTTAATGGAGAGTACCTTAGTAACCTGCGCTTCGCCGATGACATTGCATTGCTGAGTAACTTAGGGGACGAATTGCAACTCATGATTACGGAGTTAGACAAGGAAAGCAGTAAGATGGGTCTTAAAATTAATCTGCAGAAAACGAAAGTAATGTACAACAACCTCGGAAAAGAGCAGCGCTTCGAGATAGGCAATAGTGCACTTCAAGTTGTAAAAGACTATGTCTACTTAGGGCAGGTAATAACCGCGGAGCTGAACCACGAGATTGAAGTAACTAGAAGAATAAGAACGGGGTGGAGCACATTTGGCAAGAACTCTCAGATTATGACAGGTAGATTGCCATTATCCCTCAAGAGGAAGGTATATAACAGCTGTATCTTGCCGGTACTTAGCTACGGAGCAGAAACCTGGAGGCTTACAAAGAGGGTTCAGCTTAAATTGAGGACGACGCAGCGAGCAATGGAAAGAAAAATGGTAGGTGTAACCTTAAGAGACAAGAAGAGAGCAGAGTGGATTAGGGAACAAACGGGGGTTAAGGATATCATAGCTGAAATCAAGAAGAAGAAATGGACATGGGCCGGGCATGTAGCGCGTAGACAGGATAACCGCAGGTCGTTAAGGGTAACTAACTGGGTTCCAAGAGAAGGCAAGCGGGTTAGGGGGAGACAGAAGGTTAGGTGGAGACAGAAGGTTAGGTGGGCAGACGAGATTAAGAAGTTTGCGGGTATAAATTGGCAGCAGCAAGCACAGGACCGGGTTAACTGGCGGAACATGGGAGAGGCCTTTGTCCTGCAGTGGACGTAGTCAGGCTGCTGCTGCTGATGATGATGAAACCACCCAGAGGTCGCAATTCAGTTGTGGTGAGGAAATTTGGCACGAGTGTATGACAAACACAGAGCCATGAGAATATCTCAAAACGGTGCAGTAATAGCGTAGTTAAATGGGTTTGATTATCAAAACCGTGATGACCACACCTTTCACTCTCTTGTGCTTCCCTCCACTGTATCCTCACCCACGTCGCTTTGCCCTCTCACACCGAGTGTCCCTTCCATGCCCCTTCCTATCTTGCGTGGCATACGTCATCACTGACGCGCTGCTTGAAACACAGTCTACTTACGGTTGCCACGACTCCGTGTTGTAGCTGCGTGCTTGTTGGCAAACCGTGGCTGCTGTAATCGTGCCGGTATGAACCCTTCGTTACGCGCCCACCTTCAATGGATCGTCAACGTGATGGACCCGTACGGTGACACGCCGTGCCCCGTATGTGTTGCACGCATGCAAGCAACACTACGAACAACAACAAGCAGCACGGAAAGCTGCTTGCAGACTGACCGAAAGTCGTAGGTCCTTGCTCAACCAATCACCGCATATTTAACATATTTGGCTCGGTGCCAAATAGATGTGGCACGGCGTGTCACTCAGAGGCTTGAAAGGCCCGAAAGAAGAGAGATTGTTTCTAGGAATTTAGTGGCGTGCCGGTGTCTCGTAGCGCTGCCACGTATAGAATTGTTGATCGCGGCGGCATTCTGCACACGATGCGCGTATTCACTTGAAATGCTTGAAAAAATATTGGAGGTGGTTTACGGGCCTTTTAAAGGGCCACTCATTAGGCCCCATACCGAATTTTATTAGACAGTGGAAGTTGTTGGGTGTTCGTTGAGGAACATTTTGCCACAAAAAATTTTTTCGAATCGGTTCATCACGAGCGGAGAAAACAGATTTTTGAAGCGGCGCGAAAGGAGGATGGGAGGAGGCGAGCACGAAACCCTTGCCGCCCCTCCGCGTAGCCTTCGCAAGCCAAATCTCTTCCCCACCCTCTCCAGCATCCCACCATGAGATGACGTGCGCATGACGTGCCCAAACAAGTCCAACCCCCGAGCACGCGAGCAGCGTTGCTTTGTTGACCAGCGTTATTTTGTGGTCTTCTGCCTGTTTCTGCGGGATGGTTTGAAAACGCTGGCTTAGACGCTGTAGAGTAGATGAGCACAATAAGTGCGCGAACGCGTAGGAGGGTTCCACGGTGGTCATCTGCTCAATGCACTGACCGCGGGGACATGAACGCATGCGAAATGCTGGCACATTAGCCCCACATCTCATAGCATTTCACGGGGAAAAAAAAATAAAAGAAAAACTTGCACAATTTTTTCTTGCGTCTTATTATTTATATTAAGTTTAATTAATCTCATAAAGCAACAAATACATAAACTACGCGTGTTGTGTTAAATAATTTTGGCCATGTCACGTGGTATACTGTTGCAGACGCGTCTACGTAGAGGACCAACGTCACTGCATTGCCGTGTACGTATGGCCATTCCTACGCCCACATCATGCCCTCATTCTCTACGCGTGCACCGTGATCTTGAAATTTGACCCATTTCCGCGGTGCGTAGCGTTGCAAATTTTCGCATACGTGATCTTGAACACCTCTTCTACGCATTGCGCTTGTCAGCTCAAAATCCTCAAACCTGGTGAGTGGCCCTTTAAGAAGCTTCGCCCCTAAAACCGGTCGTTTTTCGCTACTGCCAAAAATATTGTACTGTTCTTCAGCATGCAATCTGAATAGAAAATTTTCGAAGCACATGACGAGTATGGTAAGAGTGTCTGTCAAAGTTGGCAGAATCTAAGGACTGTTAAAGAAGCTGAAAGCTGTGTTTAGTACAGTCAAACCCCTTTATAGGAGAGACTGATGTCAGAGACAAATGGGTACAAGAGACATCAAAGTGCCTACATCGAAATAGGGGTCCATAAGAAAACACATACAGTAAAACCTTGGTAATTAGAAGTCACTAGGACCCTGATAAGTACTAGCATTAATCGGGTTTTTGAATTAACGAATAATACAAAAAGTGGGATGCAAGGAACTTGAAATTATTCAAAGTAAAATCAGAGCTGGTCGTTTGCTGCGCTCGCCAGTTTGCGGCTCTGAGGTTTATGTTCTCTAGCAATACAAGGTCACAGTTTTGCCGCAAACAAAAGGGAACGCTCAGCTTCGTGGCTGCAATCACAGAAAAAAAAGAAAAGAAAAAGTGAGACATTTTTACCGCAACACAGTAGCGACACGCGGGCACCGTGTCACTTGGTCCTCACTGCACCAGCACGTCATGATGAGACTATTTGCCCTTTCTTTCTAGTGAAATAGGAATTTAATAATAGTCAGTGGGATGAAAT